ACCCACCTCTAACCACCCGCCTCTCAGAGAAGGCTTCGCCCGTCTCTCAAAGAAAGATTCGCCCGCCTCTCACCACCCGCCTGTCAGAGAAGGCTTCGCCCGCCGCTCAAAAAAGCTTTGCCCGCCTTTCACCACCCGCCTTTCAAGGAAGGCTTCGTCTCCCTCTCACCACCCGCCCCTCGGAGATGGCTTCGTCCGCCTCTCACCGCTCGCCCCTCAGAGAACGCTTCGCCCGCCTCTCAAGGAAAGCTTTGCCCGCCTCTCACCACCCGCCTCTTAAGGAAGGCTTCGTCTGCCTCTCACCACCCGTCTCTCAGGGAAGGCTTCGCCCGCCTCTCTCACCGCTCGCCTCTCGGAGATAGCTTCGCCCGCCCCTCACCGCTCGCTTCTCGGAGATGGCTCCGATCGTCTCTCACCACAGTCAGTCTGGGGTTCTGCCCAGGCCTGACCTGACCTCGTCTGGCCTCGCCTCGTCCCGCCCCTGGTTATTTGCGCCGAACGACCCGCCGTCACCGGGATCGGGTTTCGCCTCCGGCCACGTGAGGCTGCGGACGTCGCGCCGCCGGCGGCGCTGCCCGTTTATCGGCCAGCGCAACGGTCACGATGGGCGTATCCCGGGTGAGGGGCGTAGTTCTGCAGCGGACCGATCATAGCGGCGGTCCTGCGGGCCACGCGGACGGCTCGGCCGCTGGCCAACCCGGCACCGGACGCTCCGCCGCCGCCGCCGCCGCCGGTACCGCTGCACCTGAGGGCCGACCGTGGGAGAGTGATTCGACCTTGCCGCTCCGGCTGCGGCCCTGTGGGAGACTGCCGTTCATCCGCGCTGCGGCGGGCGTGAGAGACTCTGTCAGAGGCTGCGAGTCTCTGCACTGCGTCGGACGTGAGCGAAGGCTGCTGCCGTCCCTGAGAGACTTCCGGACACAGCTCGTCTGTTGTTCCCGGTCGGAGATGTCATCAAGAGCGTATATTCGCAGCGGCCCGGACGACGCGGAATCTGTGCAGTCGACGTCACTCATGATGTCATATCCCATACATTCTGCGCCATTTGGTGTTCGCAGCGACCTGGACGACAAAGATTCTAGGTGACGTTACGTAGAATCTTTGCCGGACAAGCAAATTCTTTTCTTGCGACTCGATCGGTGTGAGAGAGAAAGGGCGCAGTAGATTCAATTATAGATAGGCCGCTGCATGCCCAGGACCAATCTTGAGTGATGAAAAGGTGTTTTAGACGTTACAAGGAGCATAAGTTGCAGGAATTGCCGATGCATGCGCAGTTATTGTCACGACGGTTACGAAGATGTAAACAAAAAACGAGTCGCGCTGCGAAGGTGCCCGGCAAAGATTTTACGTGACGTCACATATAATAGAACATTCCTGGCGCGCTGCCAGTGCACCCCAAGCCCGCCATCGGGGGGTCTCGGCGCCGGAGGCCGCCTTGTTGCCACGACACCACTTCGCCTGCACGGCTACGGGTCGGCTGTAGAGGTACGAGCGCCCTCTGGAGGTTCTGGACCCGTCTCCCTGCCCGCTCCGACGGGAGATCTCTCCTTAAGGCGTGATTAATGTGCCATTGACGCCGACGTTCAAGAGGTCCAGGCTGCCCTTCTGAACATACCGTCCCAGCGTCCCCAACCAGGCATTCTGCGCTGTCCTGTGCTGGATGATTGGGGCGTGGGACGGCGTTTCAGGACCGTTGAATGTTTGCGTTACGCGCCTTCCCCAACACGAGCCTTCATTGTGACGATGCTTGCCCGTTGTTATGGTCACCATTTACTAACCTTCGCCGACACGTGGTTTTGCGTACAACCCTTCGCATGCAACCCTTTGCTCACGAGCGTGTTCCGTAATGAGTCAACATGAGCGAGCCTCGATACGGTTACCCCACTTAGAGTTGAGTTCCCCGCTGCAGTGGTCGTGCTGGCCTGGCGCAGTCTGGTCTGGTCTGGTCTGGTCTGGTCGTGCTGGTCTGGCGCGGTCCGGTCTAGTCTGGTCGTGCTGGTCTGGCGCGGTCCGGTTTGGTCTGGTCGTGCTGGTCTGGCGCGGTCCGGTCTAGTCTGGTCGTGCTGGTCTGGCGCAGTCTGGTCTGGTCTGGTCGCGCTGGTCTGGCGCGGCTCCGGGGTGAGCCTGGTCGTGCTGGTCTGGCGCGGTCCGGTTTGGTCTGGTCGCGCTGGTCTGGCGCAGTCCGGTCTGGTCGGGCCGCGCTGGTCTGGCGCGGCTCCGGGGTGAGGCTGGTCGCGGTGGTCTGGCGCGGCCCGGTCTGGTCTGGTCGCGGTGGTCTGGCGCGGTCCGGTCTGGTCGGGCCGCGCTGGTCTGGCGCGGCTCCGGGGTGAGGCTGGTCCCAGCGCCGATCGGTCGATTGCATCAGCCGCCGCCTGGCATTTGATGTCGCCGGCTGGCTTTGCACAGAGCGGCGGACTGCAGATGAACCAATCACATTCGCGAAACGATCCGATCCGTTCTCCAGTGACAAGATGATAGGGTGACCCGGCTTCAGTGGACCCGACCCAGGCAGCGGGGACGACACCCGCGGGTGGGAATGGCGTCGGTCCGTCCCTGAGAGGCGATGTGCGCCATGAGGCGGTCCACGGCCGGCGGGCAGGTGTCGACTACGGCCGTGGGGCAAAGCCTTACTCCGAGTTATCATCAGGTGATGATAGTCGCCAAGTTCTCCGTGCACACATCTATGAACTAGAAGCATTATTTTTTGTCCCCATAACCCGCTCCAGTGTAATGTCATGGCATTCATGTAGTGGTCATAATGTCAGGATATGGGAGGCCGATTTGGTAGTTCAGACGGCACTAACGTAAGGTCGGCAGCTGCGGGGATCCGACCGAGCCTCGTCCGCCGGAGCGGTCGGATCCGCTCCGTCTGAGCGGCCCGTCCTATGCGGAGCCGCCGATAGCGCGCAGTTGACCTTTGGACTGGCCGTGTCGGCGTCGGAGAAGGCGTGCGACCGCGATCCCCCACCCCTCTGGCGAGAACTGCGCGCCTGCCGGGCGCATTGGCGCGGCGAGCGCCGTTCGAGGGCCGCCTCCGCACGAGGCGCAAATGGAGCGAGCGTCCTAACCCTGCCGCGGTCTATAACCGGCCCGTACTGCGCAGCGAGCGCCGCCGGCTTCTCGGAGCTGGCGCCGCGCACCATGAGCGCCGGCCGGCCGCCCAGCCGTCTGTTTACGGCCGGCGGTCGCCGCTGGCCGCGCCGGCTCGTCCAGGGCACGTCCGGCGCGCGACCGGCCGCGCGCCGGACACCGGGCCCGCCTGCTGGGTGCCGGCGCGTGCCCGGTCGGGATGAGCCTGGGAGCCGCCCGGCGCCCGCCGGCCGAGCGCAGCCGGGGGCGGGCTGATCGATCACCTGGTTAGCGGCCCGGGCACGCGGCGGAGATGGAAAGTGCCCGGTGTTTGGATTCATGGCGTGCGGGACGCGTTGCGTCTGACGAGTGGGTACTCTAGCCGCTTAACAGTTACAGTTCGCTGGCGCCCGGTTTAGAGCGGCTTGAACAAAGGCTTGATCTCGTGTTCCCTGTTGAATCCGGAAATGTATCCTGGGCCCTGGCTGCCGGGCTGGCAACGCTCAGCGATGTGGTGTCAGACTATTTGACATTGGCCACGCAACCGTCGCTGTGCCGAATTGCGGACACCGCCCGCGTCCATCCGCCGCGGGACGCCGACCCCGTACTCCCGCACGTCGTGACCTTTGACCTCCGGCGCGTGCGGCCACCAGCGCCGCTCCCCCGGGCCTTAGTAACGGCGTCACTGCGGTTGACAAGGCGCGACGGGGACGACCTTCGCTGCTGCCACATGCATGCCTGCTAGTTTGGCGGGGCGTGGCAGTCGTGTTGGCGTGAGGCCGTTTGGCGGGCGGGATAGTCGGGCTGGCGTAAGGCCCCGTGGTCTGCATGCTGTCATCTGCGGCCGGCTGGTAACCGTGGACAGCGGTCACCACAGATCACAGCGCTAGAGGACAGCACAGATTACGGAGCTAGAGGACTTCACAGATTACAGAGCGAGAGGGCACCACAGATGGCAGAGCTAGAGGACACCACAGATTACAGAGCGAGAGGACACCACTGATTACAGAGCTAGAGGACAGCGCAAATCGCAGCGCTAGAGAACACCACAGATCACAGCGCTAGAGGACACCACAGATCGCAGAGCTAGAGGACACCACAGATTACAAAGCTAGAGAACACCACAGGTCACAGCGTTAGAGGACACCACCTATGACAGAGCTAGGGGACACCACAGATCACAGAGCTAGAGGACACCACAGATCACAGAGCTAAAGGACACCACAGATCACAAAGCTAGAGGACACCACAGATCACAGCGCTAGAGGACACCACATATTACAGAGCTTAACACCATAGACGAGAATCCGCGAGGATATACGGAAACACGCTTCTGCTACGTGCACGCGGCTGTCTTGGACGGGTCACGGTCGCCGGGCTACAGGGAGTGTTCCACATTTGTATGAGGTTTTGGACTGAAAAAGCCATCTTGAAGGTCGTTCGATGCAGCTCACAACCCTGCCATTTGTAAGAACTCGTTCATTTTAGTTTCTGGACTATACGCCCGCGAAGATGTACGTACTTTTTCGGAGGGGCTCCAAGGTCACCCAGGCATCTAGGTCACCCAGGTCACCCATAGCAACGTCATTCAAATGTCATTCCGTTGGCTATGCGGCGATCAAGGCCAAACAAAATATGATTGTTGTGTCGTTCATATCTGGCGTTCGTTAGCACAATCTCCAGATGCAACGGCCGTGTCAATTAGCTCTCAACCAAGGTTGTGCAAGACACGATGGCGTGACCAAACAATGACGTATTGGAGAGCATGTTTACTTAACAGAGAAATTGTGCTGTCTAGAGTATCCTTTTCTAATTAAAATCATACTTACAGTGATGAGTGAGTGTATTTCATGATAGCTGATGCTTGGTTCAACATTTTTAACTGTGTACCATTCCCTTTCACCCACGCATGTATTTCCGCGTGCCGCCAGGCCGCGACCTGCTGGTGGACGTGGAGCCGTCGGAGCCGTGTGAGTCGACGGAGCCGACGGGTGCGAGCCCGCCGCCGCTGACCATCAGTCCCGGCTCGCCGTACGAGAACGTGCTGCTGCCGCTGCCGTGTCGGACGGCGCCGGACGCGGCCGCCGGCCGGGCCGCGCCCCACTGGCCCATCTACGACGTGCCGGCCCGCCGCCACCGCGCCGCCGCCGCCGTCTCCAAGTGAGTGCCCGGCCGCGGGCGGGGTCGGAGGTGCGGCGGGCGACCTGGACCCGTGGCCGGCCCGTCTTCAGGGGGAAGGGGAGGGGGGTCAGCGGAGTGGCCGACCTGCAGTGGACCCGCCGGCACCGCGCCCGCCTGAGTCACGCGCGCGTGTTGTCACGATGCCGCTGTGGTGTGACCTAGATCGTGTGATGGAGGACGTCGCGGTGCTGAGGGTGTCCCACGACTTCCGTGCCAAGTGGTCATCCATCGGTGGATCCGTGCATGATTCATGTTTCCCTTGTGGACATGCGTCATAAGCAGATATGCGCTGGGAAGCAAACCACATTGAGCATAGCCAATCCCTCAAACTCATTCATTTGTTTTTCAATCACCGACGTAGAGCACGGCGACGCCTCGGTTTCAAAGCATTCAGGCCGTCGGCGAAGCGCCGCAGTTTTCCGGTCGTGTGGCCTTGTGCACAGAAGACCGCTGGCCACGTAATCCTCTTAGCTCGGGCGCAGCGTTTCACTGCCGACCGGTCGCACTCCTTTTCTCTTGACGGACAAGCGATGGGGCTTGCTGCTTCGTTTTTGTTTAGTTTTGTCGAGACCGTTCGTTGCAGAGCTACTGGTTTGGAAGGCGTGAGTGAAACCATGCTGGCATGGTCGGCATGTTAACGAAGCCGAGCCCGGCAGAGATTGACGTCGACTTTTGACCGTGGCATGCTGGTTGTACTGCGCGCTGGCGGAGCGTTCATGCCGTGCTGGCTGGTTGTGTACCGTTGGTGCACCGCGCCGTGTCGTTGCTGAAGCGGTCTGAGCGCTGTTAGCGTACTCGAGCGCGTGACCCCTCCCCGTGATTCGGCATGCCCGCGGCTCCACCGGCACAGCTCTGACGTCACGGTCGCGGAGCGCGCCTCGGACAGCTGGCTATGGTCGGGCTGCGCGGCTGGTCTGAAGTGACCGCGAGCTGGGCCTACTGCGGTCAAGCTGCGCTGACAGCTGGCTGAGGTCGAGCTGCGCGGCTGGTCTGAAGTGACCGCGAGCTGGGCCTACTGCGGTCAAGCTGCGCTGACAGCTGGCTAAGGTCGAGCTGCGCGGCTGGTCTGAAGTGACCGCCAGCTGGGCCTACTGCGGTCAAGCTGCGCTGACAGCTGGCTGAGGTCGAGCTGCGCGGCTGGTCTGAAGTGACCGCCAGCTGGGCCTACTGCGGTCAAGCTGCGCTGACAGCTGGCTGTAGCCGGGCTGCGCGGCTGGTCTGAAGTGACCGCGAGCTGGGACCGGCTGTGACCAAGCCGCGCTCTCTCGTCACCCGAGCCAGTAACGCTAGACAGGGGCTCGCCACACGCACTCGACGCGCGCGGTCAGCGCTGCCGCAGCGGTGGCGCCGCCCGGCCCGGGGGCGGTGTGCGCACAGGTCGTGTGTCGGTCGGCCGCCGGTCCTGCAGTGGTGGTCTGGGGCGGCGTGGCGGCGGCTGGCGACGGGTGACGGGTGACCGGTGACTGGTGGCCGGTCTGCAGCAGGCCGACCCAACGAAGCGGCGCCGGACGTCCGTCCGCCGACCGGCCGGCCAGCCAACTCGGCCCACGTCCGGTCTGCCTGAGTGGCTGTGGAACACGGGCCGGAGCCGCCCGCTCGCTGCCTCCCGCGCTCCCTCTTTAAGAATATTTAAATAGCCGTGCCGTAGGCATTTGATAGCGCTGTTGAAGGGCTTTCAGTGGGCATATAAACATCGTTCTCGGTCTAAGGAGTCTATTTTGTTGCTACGGGCCCCATACAACGGGTCTCACTCCTCTACCAACCCGCTCGCCCGCTGTTTGACCATGTTCTCTGCCCGCCCACTCGCTTTGTCGGGGTGTCCACTCTGTCCATCGATTCATTTTCTCCTTGTCGTGTTCTGTCGGCCTGCTCACTGCGTGTTTTTCTCCCTCCCCGCCGCCCACCCGCCCACTGGTCATCCCTCTGTCCTGTCCACGGGCCGGTTCAGGCCGCTCCTGTCGGTTTAAGGTCGCCCGCTCGCCCGCTCTTTTGCCCTGCTCACCCGTCCACTCCGCCCGTCCGTTGGCCTGGCCCACCCGTCCGCTCCGTCCGTCCGTTCGCCCTGCCCATCCGTCCACTCGGCCCGTCTACTGGCCCTGCCTACCCATCCACTCGGTCCGCCTACTGGCCCTGCCCACCCGTCCACTCGGTACGCCCATTGGCCCTGCCCACCCGTCCACTCGGTACGTCCATTGGCCCTGCCCACCCGTCCACTCGATACGTCCATTGGCCCTGCCCACCCGTCCACTCGGTACGTCCATTGGCCCTGCCCCTCCGTCCACTCCGTTCGTCCATTCGTCTTGCCCACCCGCATACCCTGCCACCGTGCATTTCCCACCCTCGCATTCTGTCTCCAATTACCACCGCTCTGTCCACCTTCCCACTTTTTCATCCCTTTACGTCGATGACCCGCTCACTGTCCGACTTTGCCATCCGCTCACCCTGTCCGTTCTTACGCCCTGTCCACTCGCCATTTTGTCCGCTCCTCTGCCCAACTCGGCCTTCCCCTGCTTCATCCGTGCGTCTGCTCACTGTTCGTCTCTCTGCCCACCTTGACCGTTCCTTTGCTCACTGTCCGTTCCCCCGCTCATTATCCGTCCCTCCGCTCACTCCATCTCTTTTCCCGTCTTCACCATTCTCTTGCTCGCTGTCCGTCCCCCCGCACGCTGTCCGTTCCTCCGCTCACTCTCCGTCCCTCCGCTCACTGTCCGTTCCTCCGCTCCCTGTCCTTCCCTCCGCTCACTGTCCGTTCATCCGCTCACTGTTCGTCCCCCCGCTCACTGTTCGTTCCTCTGCTCATTGTCCGTTTCTCCGCTCACTGTCCGTCCTTCCGCTTACTGTCCGCTCCTCCGCTTACTGCCCGTTTCTCCGCTCACTGTCCGTTCCCCTGTTCGCCCCTATTCGGTTCCACTCCTGAGCTCCAGCACGATGCCGGCAATGCGCTGAAAGTCTCCGCGTAATTCGGCGCGGCCGAGCGCATTGTTATGGAGATCTGGCCCGCCAGCCGGCGCGCTGCGTTCCCCACGTCTCTCCAGGGGCCTGGCATGCCGGGAAATGCAGGCAAACTGGGACGAAGTTGTCGAGCTTTTGTGTCACAAATCAAGGTTACCTCCGTTTCCTGACAATGCTGTCCTGGGTCTGAAGGACGCGCGCCTAGAATACTAGAGTTTCCACCTTTTTTCAATTTTGTAGGGATTCATGCATTCTTCTGTCTTTGCCAATATGGGTGTCATCCCTTTCTTTTAATGCAGCCTCTTAGTACCACTCGCGCACCTTTTCAGGAGCGACTTACCTGCGCCTTAGGTAGTGTTTTGTAGAAAAAAGAACGAAATATATATGCAAGGAAACTTATTAAGTTGCTAGTTTATCAACCGCGGCTTGTTCCAAATCCCATTATTTTGTTTTGAATCCACTCATGTTGAACGCTTACGTGTTTGCCATTTTGCGGCAACGCAACGGTGCACAATGAAGCCTTAGAGCTGGTGTCAAAAGACGTTTTGATAAGATCGTAATTGGGCTCAGGTACGAAGCAGGTGTAAGTAACCATACCCTAAGTGGATTGCTTGGCGCAACATCCCCGAATCGATGGAGACCTGGCAGTGTATTACACGGGATACGGCGACGAACGTATGCTCGCACCCATAAGTGATATCAATGAATTATAAATGGATGAATTCATATCGCGTAATATTACGACATGAACTGGATATCAGTCTCATAAGTTATGCCCAGTCCGTCCCATTCCTGGCCCTGCGTTATCGCCCGGCGTTTTTAGGTCATCACCCAAGCCAGGCCACAGTGTGAGTTCCACGCTCGCTGGTGAACACCGATCGGCGACATATGAGCACGGCCAGTCCTGATGGTCCAGCAGAGAGACAGTCCGATTATCCTACCACGGCCTGCACCCCGGCTTGGTGGCTGTTGACAGAACGTGGGAGCTCAGACCGTGAGCGAGTGATGAACATGGACGTAAGGCGCTTATGGCGTGGTCTTGCCTCCCGTGTGGCGTGCGATCGCCGTGGAGTTTGTTGAAAGCATAGACTTTTTCGCCGTCGGATCGGTCATGCTTCAGCACGCGTTCGGCGGTTCACAATGCTGCTCTTGCCGCAGGTCGTCGGACGAGCTGAACGGGATCGAGTTTGAGAGCCCCGTGAAGAACGGAGGGCGCGCCCCCATTCTCCGTTCACACTCGTACGACATGGACAAGCTCACGGACACCGAGTCAGACCCGCCGTCCCCGCCACCCAAGGCGCGACACCAGTCGACGGGATCCTCGCTAGATGGCAGCAGGCACCAGTCGACCGGCTCGTCGATAGATGGCAGCAGACAGCAGTCGGCCGGGTCGTCCATAGATGGCAGCATTGGCCGGACTTCGGGGCAGCGTGTCACCTCCAGGGTGCGATCGCTGGATAATGAAGGAACCTTCCCGTCAGTGGGGCTCAAGGTAACCATGGTGTTTGATGCGTAAACCTACGCTTATTCGCATATCCGCGATTTCCGTGCGCATGAATTTGATCCATGCAAAATCAAAATAGGCATCTATCATGTAGGCATACGTAGACATACGTTGTAAGTTCGCCGCTACACTACGACCCCATCTGTTGTGCACCGACCGCAAGCGCGCCATTGCCGTACGCCTGCTGCTACGCGTTCTCTCCCGTCTCCGTCAGCCGGTGCCGCCGCCCAAGCCGCCTCGCCGGAGCATCGCCTCGTCGCCACCCGTGCCCGAGGGCATCTACGAGCTGCTGGCCGACGCCAAGTCGGGCGGCGGCGACAGCGAGCGGCTGGCCAACGGGCGGCGCGCCTACGAGAACGTGCACGGCTTCTGGCGGCTGCAGGAGCGGCAGGCGCGCGACGACATCGGCCTGAACTCGGGCCGCGCGCGCGTTAAGGACCGCCGTCGCAACCGCACCAACGTGTACGAGAACTGCCGGCCGGGCGAGCTGACGGCCGTGTGGACACCGCCGCGCGCCGCAGAGGAGGCGGCGGCGCCGGCGGCCGAGCCAGGCCGACGCTCGCCGCGGCCGATGTGCGTCAGCGCCGCCGGCGTCAAGCCGGTGCCGCCGCCGCGGGTCTGCTCCCGTCTCCGGGTGAGTCGACGCTCCGGCCGCACGGTCGCTCTCGGCGTCGCTGGTGGTCGGTCGTGCGAGCGAGTCGCTGTCGCGCTTGGGTGCGGGGGTGCGGCATTGCAGATGCTTGCAGCTCGTGGTCCTCTGTGTCGGAAACATGGACTGGGACGACTCCGGCTTTGGGAGCGCCGCCGCAGTGCGCTTGGCTTGCTCTGTCGCCGGGCTCGCTGTCGGGCGCGCTGGCCTGTACGCGCGGCGTGCCTGTGCGCCCAGGTGCACCCGCTGAGTCCGACCCACTACCAGCAGCCGCCGACGCCCGACCACCCTCCGCCGTCGGCCTCGCAGGCCGAGCAGAGCATCGCCGACAAGATGCGGCCGCTCAGTCAGGTGGGCCGCGCCGCGCGCCATCTCTCGGCGGGCGAACCAACCGCCGGGCGCGCCGCGTTAGGCTGGGCCGGCTCGCCGTCGCTCGGCCGGACAGCCAGCTGTCGGCTCTCGTGCGATGCGCGAGTGCCATCTGAGGCTGTGACCCTGTGACCGTGCGTATGCGCGTGTCGGTGCCGATCGCCTGACCCTGTGGGGCCCGATGTGACCTTGTGTGACCCCTTCATGTATGGGCAGCAGTCGTCCGATCGCGTGGCTTCCTCCCGATGTGTTGGAAGGATGTGTCCTGTGCTGTATGATCCCGTACTTCCTGCCCCTCCTCCCGTGTGATGGGGCAGTGCGGCCCCTGTGCGACCCTTGGTGTGTAGGCAGACGCCGGTGTGCCGCCGCAGCCCCGGTGTCGCCTCGCGTGACGTCGCCGCGCGCGTCGGCAGGAGTCGTCGTCGTCGCCGCCGGTGGGCGGCCAGCGCAGCTCGCGCGACATGGAGACGGAGACGGACGACGACCTGCTGCAGGGCAGCGCCAGCGGCTCGAGCGGCCACTCGTCGCCGTCGGCGCCCGGCTCGGACGTGTCGGCCTCCACCGACAACATCGAGGAGGTGCGCCAGGACGCGCCGTTCGCAGGTCAGTCCGAGGCGACGGCGGCGCGGGTCTGCTGGGCTCGCCAGTTGTGATGTGTGCGCCGGCGAGCTGTGGCCTGGACGCGTGTCTGGGTGTGCCGTCCGGTCTGGTGATATCTGGTCGCCTGTCAGACTGGTGGGCAGCTGACGACGTGATGGTGGCTTTTGAGCCGCTGGCATTGTGTCTTGCGACTGAACATGGGATCGAATGTTGCTTAACAGGGATTACCTCCCTGTTATCTGGGCAGTGGATGCTAGTCGGCACCATTACGCTATTAGTCACCTTTGAGGTGGTGTGAGGGGTCCGGAGGTAGCGGGCGAGCCGGGTCTGAAGAGAGTCGTACTATGTGGGAGGGGTAGCCGGTGAGACAGCGCCAGAGTGCGGCGCCCCTCACCGAGAGTAGGCCGCGCACTCATCTGCGCCAAAGACACGAGCGGGCCGGGCAGGCGGCGATAGCGGCCAGTCGGCTGGGACCAGCGCCCGTTCTCAGGATATTGTAGGAATATCTCGGCGCTATTGGGGTCCGCTTGCTCCGTAGTTTCAGCATTTTGTCCGCGTTGCTTAACTTTCTGTGTGTGAGTTCTGACAACAATCATCTCTCTGTAGAATGTTAGTTGCATTTTCCACAAGCAAGTGGTTCCGTTTGGCGTTGTTCCCTCCGGTCCAGTGAGACAACACTTGGTTCGCATGACAAACCCCCATGACAGTGAGACATGTCATCATCGCGCCAATATTCTCGCTGACCGCTGGGCGGTCGTTTGGCGCCGTTTGATGCCGTTTGATGCCATTTGAGGGCGGCACCTGGCGTGGTGACGACTGCAGGGAGGGTTGCAGCCTTCAAGGCTATTCATTAGGGGCCAGACGGCTTGCAGACAATCGAATGGGTCTCTTCACCATTCGTCCGTGTTCGTGGGCGACCCGGTGTGGCAGAGTTAATTTCTAACGAGCTGTCGGTGGAATATACGACATTGACATCGCTCAAGGAACGTTCGTGTCAAGTTCTTGAAAAAATAAAACATTTGCAATGCATGTTAGTGCAGCGTTTTACGTGCCCTGCTATTAGAGTGCCACATGCACGGCCGCGTAAAGTAGTGAATATGCATGCATTACTCGGAAGATCTACTCCGCGGCTTCATTGCTGGAAAGCCTGCAGCGAAACTGTGCGGTCATGCTCAGCTGTTTCTGGGCAGTATTTTGGTTAAGCTGGGGCGTTTGGTGTCTGGCGTTTGTCCGGCTTACTAGTCCACATAGGCTGCAACTTAGAGCGCAGCCCGGATATACAACCGAGCTGGGTACGGTCGTAGAAATCTTCAACGAAATGTGTGGTGATTTTACCAGCCCCCTTTGGAATGATGGCGTTATTACTGTTAGGTCATTGTCGTCTCCAGCCTCAGTAACTTGTTCCGATGCCATCGGAAGGAATGAATCGCTTTTCCTTTTAGAAGAACCCACGAACCCTTGGGTTTCGATTGTTGCTTATTGCGTGTAAAGCTGCCTTCGACATTATCATAAGGTGTGTGACTTAAGGTTAAGCCTAAAGTGAATGCTATTTTAATAAAACAATATTACTTTCTTAGCAGAAAGTTGTCATATGGTTCCGGCTTCAGATAGACAAATGTTACGACGAATTTAAGCAAGCATTTGCTTCACCCCCCCCCCCCCCCTCCCTCTTTTTGGATGAGGTATCAGTAATTATCACGCGTTGCATTCAGTTAATCAAACCAATCAAACACCGAGATCGTCCTGATGACGTGGGCAGCTGGGCGTATTATTAAGCTGTTGCTGGAGAAGAGCCGCCCTTGCCGCCCTCTCGCTATTACGCCTGCGTGGCTGTGACTGATCGACATCAGTCTGGGAGTGGGCTTCAGGCCATTTCGTGGGTAGCGCCGGAGCCTCCGCGAAGTCCCGTCTCCTGTGTGGGCCTGCCGTCCGACCTCTGTCTCGCGCCGCCGCCGCCGCCGCCCTCAGGGGGCGTGCAGACGCGCTGCTCCGGGCCGTGTCACTCGCCGCCGAGTTAGCGCGAGGTCACGCACGCGACGGCCAGCCGGCCGCGGCCGAGCGCGTCCGCCCCCGGCCGGCGGCCTGCCGTCCCGCTGCCGTGTGCATGGCACGCCCGCCCCGGGCCGCCGAGCACGGTCGCAGGAATAGACGCGCCGTGCGGCTGCATGTTATTGGTCGCGTCGGCGCTGCGGCCGCGGCCAAGGCCGACACCTGGCGCCGCGCTGGGGACCAGGTGATCTGGGAGACTTCACGGAACTGCTCTGGCGGCGGCCGGTTGTGCGATGATCTCGGCGGCGTGGAGCGGCGCGGCGCGGCGTTCCGGGAAGCTGGCGACGTGCGTGGTGCGGACCCCGCGCCTTGGGCGGACCGCGGAGAGTGGCGGCTGTCGGTCGCTAGTGACCAGTTGGGACGGCTTGCTCGAACGACATTGGGAAACCCATCCTGTTGTAAGAGTGATGCAGGCTGTGGACGGCGTGTCCCCTGTCGGGCAAGGATGCGGGAGCAGACTGTTGCTCTTCAAAAGCAGTTTGTCGTGCTGGATTTCTGTACTTCCTTGATAGGTCGGAAAACTGAGATCACTGCTTCGCTGTTTCGCACTCTGATAACGCGACGGCCGGCGACTGCTCAGTGGCGAGGACTAAAGCACGCACCCACTGTGAGACGGCGCGTTCGGACCGCTCCAGCCCAGCTGGCCAGTGGCTAGGCGTCCGTTCGTCCCCACTGAAGCGCCCCCGATGCGACGGTGCGTGTATCTGTTGGTCCTCTGACCGATGTCCGACCCGGTGGCGTCGGACGGCCGTCCCCATTGTCCGGGCCGGCGTGGCCGCCCCAGCCGGGTCCCCCGCCGCTGCCCAGGCCGGCCGGGTGACCTCACGGGCGCGCCGCGCCAGGGGCGCGTCCAGCGTCCGTCCCCGGGAGGCGGCGACCACGTGCTGGCCCGCCGCCGCCGGCCGGCGCGGACGTCGCCGAATCAGCAGATAAGATTATCAGCCGGCCGCCGAGCGGGGGCCGCGCCGCCGGCGCCGCCGCCGCCGCCGGCCGGCTCCCGCTCAGGGTCGCCCCGGCCGTCCAGGCGCGCTAACGGGTCAGCGAGCAGTGCGGTGCCCGGCTGCTGACGCGCGTGCTGTCCGTAGTGGCGCAGCGGCGGCGCCAGCTGGCGGCGGCGCCCGGCGGCGCGTGGGGCCGCGCCGAGTGGGCGTGGGAGCCCAGTGCATCGCGCGACGAGCTCGGGGTGGCGCGCGGCGCGGACGGCGGCCGGACGACCGACGCGGCGTGTGCGGTCCGGCGCGGTTGCGGGACGAGCGGGCGCGGCGTCGCGGCCCGGTCGGCGGCCGCTGTGCGGTGCGCGGGTGTCGCGCCGGACGCGGCACGGCTGTCGGCGGCGGGCGCGCTCGCGCCGCGTTAGTGGCCGCCCAGCGCGCGGCGCCGGCGGAGACTGTGCGTGGGACACTACCGGCCGGAGCCGGCCTCCCAGCGGCGCCAGGTGAGCCCCGTCACGGCGGCGACACGTCGCACAAACAGCTAGATAGCACCTCGTCGAGCCGGCCCGGCTGGCGGCCGCCGCGTGCGGCCGCGTCGCCTCGGTCGGCGGTGCCGCTGAGTGGCCGGGGTTGGTCGCAGGACTGCCGACGGCTCGCTGTCGTCAGTGTTGGCTGCGGTTACTCTGAGAACTCTGATGGCGTCCGGCGGTCGATCCGCGCAGCCGGCGTCTGGCGGGTGTCGGGTTCGCTCGGCATCGCGGAGCCGAGTTCGCCGCAGTCGGCGCCGGTCTGGCGCTGATTCCACACATCCGTGCCTGCGCAGCCACCGTGTCCCCGGTGGGGAGAGGGACGCGCCGGCCGGCTCGGCTGCATCCGGCCAGCCGTGTCCGCCCATCCACCCGAGCTGCCCCGGTGCAGACACCAGCCCCCGGCCTCCGCCCAGTCCAGGCGCCCATTTGGACCGCAGTCTGCAGCGCCGGCTCCAGCGGTGTGCCTCGGCCCGTCTCCGAAGTCACTTCGGGCCGCCGATGTCGATCGTCCTCCCCAGAGGCGGCCCGCCCCCAGACAGATGGGCCTCGGGGCCCCGTCAGTCTCCGAGGCCGCCCCAGACCGCCGATCTCGATCGTCCTCCCCAGAGGCGGCCTCGCCCCCAGACAGACAAGCCCCGGGCCCCGTCAGTCTCCGGGGCCGCCGGCGGCTGGCGGCAGCGGCACAGACCGGCTGTCGGTCGGCGTTTTTCCCGCCGCGCCTGTCACGCGGCTGGTTTGTTTTCGAGCGCGCCGTGTCGGCCGGGTTTTGGCGGGCGCGCGATTGGCGCGGCGGGCGGTCGCCCGGCGGCGGCCCGTCTAGCAGGCGGCACGTGCCGTCCGCCCTCGCCGGGCCCGATCGGCTCGAGCCGGCGCCGTCCGATCGGTCGGCCGGTCGTGACGGGCACGCCGTCCACGAGGAGGGGGGGGGGGGGGGCTGCCGGCGCACCTCTCCACTGTTAGTGGCGGGGAGGGCCGACCCAGCGGCGGACGCGCCCGACCGCGGATCGGCGCCGCTTCCTGCCGCGCCGGCGGGAGCCGCGCACCTCCCCTCGCTCCGCCGCTGGCGACGCGCCCGTCGCTGATTGCGCTTAACACGTGCGCCGCATATCTGCCGTTCCGCAAATCATCGCCGCTCCCGGCGGCCGGGGCGCCGGGGCGCGGCCGTTATTGTCGGAGCCGGTCGGCCCCCTCTCGTCCCCTCCCCATTCCCCAGGCTCCGGCGCGTCTGTCGTCCGGCACTGCCGGTGCGTGCGTGTCGGCAACAGGTGTGGGCGCTCGCGCCAGCGGCGGCGCGGCGTCGTGCTCGGCCGAGCGGGGCGGTGCCGGCCGGCTGCCCGGTCGGGCCGCGGCCGGCCCGTGTTGGCCGTATGGGTCGCTCCTGGGGCGGCGGCGGGCAGTGGCCGAGCATGTCTGCGGGACGGCCACGTCAGTGGGCGCCGATGACGCGGGGGGCGTCCGGCAGCTGCGCTTGTGGCCAGCACGCGGCCGGGGC